AAACAGAATAATGAAGAAAACGAAGCAAGTTCTTCGAAAACAGATACTTATACTGAAGTAATCATAAAACCAAATAACAATATATATAAAATTGAACAAAAGGTTCAAGAGGTAAGTAAAGAATTAGGACTAAAAATATGACAAGTTCTAATAAAAATTTTAGAAATTTTAGCTAAAATATTAATAAGGGTAGAATTGTATTTTTCACCCCTAAAATGGCTATATTTCATCTTTTTAAAAAAGATGGCTGTATTTCATTTTTCACTTCAAAAAAGTGCTAAAAACCGGCGGCTCTCTTCTTGCTAAACTCGAACTTGCAATCGCTCGTCTAGCCTGTGCTCTCTTTTGCGCGCCTGGTGACATGGTGCCCGAGGCCCGTTGCCTGCTCCCAAGCTCGGCAGGCCCTTTCTCGCCAGGTCCAATCCCATGCGTGTTCCCAGGTTCTTTGCTCGACTTTCTCGTGTCGTCTCGACCCTTGACTCATCTCGTCTTCGTACGTCAAAATCTCCATTCTCATCACGATCGCCAAACATACAACATTTGTTATGAAAATTTTTCATTGGATAGCTACTTAGACAATCTCATAATCATACATTTGCAGTAAAAATCTATACTTGTTCATTATCATGCTATATTTTAAATTAAAATACAAATAAATGTATGATATTTTATAGAATATATACACTTTTAAGAAAATATATATGTAAATATATAGTACAATAACCCGTGTACAACACGGGTACTTGTTAAGAAAATCATATTTCAAGTTAAATAATAATAATAATAATAATAATAATAATAATAATATAATAATAATAATAATAATAATAATAATAATAATAATAAATAGTTTGTAAATACTTTTTTAAAAATATATTATTATATATATTTAAATTGGCGTAGTCACTTACACGACTACTATCTTAGATTCTATTTTTTCTCATTTATATTGAATAAATACTTTTTAGTTAAGTAAGTTTAAATAATTATATTTTTTTAAATTAATATTATTAGATAATTAATTTTTAATTATAAATATAAATAAACCGTGCAAGGATTTTTTTTTTAAAAAAAATGGGGATATAATTATTATGGAATAAGGAAATCGTGTACAATTATAACTGTGTAAAGATATTATGGCCATATAATTAACAATGGTATTTACTATTTAACCGTGTACAACCATATCGTTTTTATTATGGAATGAATATAATTAACAATGGTATTAAATATTTTGTTTTCAACAATTAAGGAATGTAATTATAGTAAGTCCGAACCTAATAAATTTGGAATATAATAATATTAATTTTTATCCGAACCAAAAGACGAAGCATGTAATATTGTCAAGTAAGTTTCCGAAGCGTGCGAGCCAACCATTTAGGCTCAGCATGTTTTGAAATTATATAAAAGAGGAATATATATATATATATATATATATATATTTGTATGATACTTAGAGCGTGCTTGTATATAAATAAATCCGCTCAAAATGAGTTGTGTCAAAGTTGAATTAAATTTTAAGTATAAATTAAGTATGAAATTAAGTGTTTTTATGCAAACACACCCTTAGGTAGGCTAACAACGGCATAATACATTAATTTATAATTTGTCGTTTTTCATTTAATCTTTAGCTGAGGTAGGGTCTCCATCAATAAAAAATTTTATGAAGCAATTGGACGGTTTTTTTATGGAGCCATCAATCACTTAATGTATTTACACATGTTCAAAGTGTATTTATTGTATGTGTCAATACACTATTTGTGAATAATTGTGGATGACTCAATAAGACGAGCCATCCGATGTATAGTACTCCACCAATAGGGCTACATCATGTTGTTCCCTATCTTATAGAGTTGCATCAGTAAAACTCTAAGTGGGAGCTATTTTTTTTTTTTTAAATCAGATATACATATTTTTATTAGACAATATGACTTTTAAAACTTACATGATATTTGATAATATAGGTATGCATTTTTTTTTTTCAAAACTCATGCGATGCACCGTAAGATATATTCTTTAGTATTTTTAGATTAAAAATGCTTGTTAAATAATATATACAAATTAAAAATATTGAATCAATATATAATACACTTTACCTATATTAATTAATTAAAAATGTTATATGAATTTTATATCATGCAAAATCATAAAACATGTCAATTTAAAATTTATACACAACCCCACACACGTAACTGATTCTTGATTTGTTGTCAGTTAAATATGCAATGAAAAATACTATTTCCTAACAGTAACCAAAGTTCATATAAATTCGAAATAAAAAATCATCAAATTTCAAGTACCAGATGGAGAGAGCAGCAAGGATACATTACACACAACCAAAATACCTTCAAGCAAAAAAACATTTATGTTCGAATGCTGATCATCACGCTTTTTTACAGCAAATTCAGAGCCCAATAGATTCACACACAAACTCCCACCTCACAGGAAAAAATATATCCCATAGAGGTATTGTTTCAATCCACACACACAGAAAAATCTTCACCAAATCACCCTTAAAAACCGAGAGCCTCAAACGAAAAACATCACGTCCCGAAGATCCGGATGGAGCTCGTAAAAGCTCCTATCAAAAGCATTCGAAACGGACGAAGATGCCCCTGGCCGTGCCCGAACCTCCTTAGCCACCTCCTCAAAAATACGGCCCCTGTACGCCACCAGGTCTGCATAGTAAACCGGAGGCACCAACGAGACGGGTCTCGTGCTCCGCGCGAACGTGAAGCACAAACCATAAACGAGCCTCTGCAGCTGATCGGGCGTGAAGCAATTCTCGTTTAGCAAAACGGAGTACCTCACGGCCTTGCTCGTCCCTGTCCTCCCGTAGTGACTGCAAAGGTAAAAGTCAAACTCGAACGGGTGCACAATTTTTGTGTCCACCACCGTGCCAGGTGGCACATTCCCCGTGGGCCCCACATCCCGAAAGTTCTCCACAAAAAGGCGAGTCTGGTGCCTCTTCTGGGCCACGACGAGCGTGATTTTCGGCTCATAGTTTTCGGTGCACACCACACGTTTCAAATCTGAGAGCTCTTCGTTCAGCACCATCTCAAATTGTCCCTCGCTAACCCCGTCTCGAAACACGACGATTTTCGCGGGCCGGACTTTATTAAACCGGAAATAAGTTTCGACAAGATCACGGCACATGAGTCCAAAATCGAGGATCTTTTCGGTTCGGTGGTGTTGCGGGCAAACCCTAGCGGCATAGCGGGTAACTGCGGGCCAGTTAATTGTAGAGACCACGGCAGCTATGGAAGGGTTCGTCGATCTTTTCGAGACCGGATGGTTCACGTCGGCTCCAATGAACATGACATGGTCGTTTTTTTCTGCTCCGTTATCGAAATTGGGAAGTGTTTGGATTAGCTCGGCGTTACTTCCCCCGAGCTTCGCGTTGATTTTGAGGCACAAATTGACGAGAAACTTCTCGTCTCCTCGATTTGCGTGCACGGACAGGCAACACTGAGTAATTACGCCGATTCTTGTTTCGGATAACCACTTGAGGTACTTGTAGCCGCTGGGGTGCTTTTCTGCCATTACACATATTATAATTTGCAATTTGGTCCTGCTTTTATTGCTAGCTTCTCGAATGGTCCTCCTGAGGTATTGTTCCAGAGTGGTTAAAGAAGATAACTCGCGCATGCTGGTGGAGAGAGAAAGTAGAGGCTCCTCCATGTGGATCCCTAGGCTGCGGGATCTGTTCGTGAGATTCTTGATGAAGTCTTTAGATTTGAGCTCGAGGGAATTGGACGAGCGGAATTCGAGTAAAGCCCATGTTTCTATCCTTTTGCCATCCACGACAGAGTTTTCGGATAGGCTCCACTGGCGTTTATCGTTTTCGATTCGAACGATATCGACTGCACCATTGGGAGTGCATAGCTTTAACTCGGGTGGGGTTATGACACGACCTTCGACAGATGTCATGTTCTTATCGATTTGAAATCCGAAATTTTTCGTCACGTCTCTGTAAGTCAAAAACAGGAGAGGTTAAACTACAGTAGTCTTTCCTTTCACTATGAGTAACATTGTAACAAATTGCAACACACACACATACACAAACGCACACATGTGTTGCAATGCAATGCAATGTTGAAACAATTACAAACTCGTAAGAATATATTGTCATTCAAGTTTTAATCTTCCCATAATTTTTTCAATGTACGCAGCAAAAAGCTATCTACAGCTAAACCTATAAGAAGGCAGCTATTTTGCGAGGTAGGACACATACACATTCAGACTCCGTAAAGTGAGGTAATCAAAAAACAAAAGGGTGTAATAGTTACTCTGGATTCACATAAAAGGAACAAAATATAGGTCATGGCCGCTCGGCCAAAATAACTCAATTTTGTACAGGAAATACTTCAAACAATACAAAAAAAAAAGTAATAGATAGTTTTGTAGGAATATGCAACTCACCCATAAGGCCCATCATGTGCCTCCATCATCTCACTTATTGTTTGCCTCCTCTCGAGTGGTCGAGCCAAACATTTCGCCTTAAACTTCTCCTGTTCTGCTTCACCCAACAGCTCTTTTTTATACCGTTGCCCCTGAACCAAGACACAAAATTCCATCGGGACATGATTCATCCGATTATTTCTCCCAACAATCAAGCAGGGAACAGCCTGATAAACAATCTCCTTCCCGTACTTCTCCTTGAAATACTCGACCAGACTGACTTTAACAGTCTGTTCTCGCCCATTCGGGTCAACAAAGTCAAACCAAAGATCACGAGTACTCTGTGTGGTCAAACCAGTTATAGAAAACAGCTGTTTGGTAAGACGGTGAGTCACTCTCACCGTCAATCCTTTCAACGCATTACTCACCCGTCTCCTCAAATACGGATCAAAATCCGACCCGCTGAATTGGGGAATATTCTCCTTTAGGAAATCTATAACTGGCATTGGCTTGCGAAAGGCCATAACCGAACTGTCCAGGCACAAGGCGAGGCCCTGTGACGTGGGCCGTAAAGTCGATTGGAAACCTCGATATGCTGCAACACCATTTCCAAAATCATCTTCCTCCCTGAAAATGGAAGGATAGAAATTCCGATCAATGGAGATTCTGTATCTAGAAGGATTCTCCTTCATCACGAGATCCATCCCTTGCAGTATGTCACGAGGCACGTGTTGAACCTTTCCAGTTAAATAGTCCTCAAGCTTGGAAAGCTTTAGCTCGGTCATTAGCTTGATCGAGACATGATAAATCCTAGCTGCAGGATCTTCACTACCAGAAAGCTCTACCTTGAATTGACCGGTCGGAAGTGGGACTGCACTGTACAGATTCCTTTCGCCATCATAAGCAGTTCGGTTGAGTGGAAATTGAGCCGGGTCATCAAGGCACAATTTATTTCTAATCAAGCGCAGGATGCCTTTGTGTCTGGACTTTCTGACGGGTCTTTTCCCACGGGACGTTGCTTCATTAATGTCCAGGCTGTAATGGAAAATGGTGACCTTTGGATTGAATCTGACGAGAAAATGATTTACGAGGAGGTTGATGGGCTTTCCTCCGCCAAGGGTACTTCCCTCCGGTCGTTTGATGGGCAAAATTTTGTTACTAGTGTTTTTCGGAGGACTCGATTGGGGGTGCTCTTTCGGGATATTCAGTATTTTAACACCAGAATTACCAGGTTCTGCATCAAACGGCGGCTCGAAAAAATTGATAACTTTGCAAGGTGATAGAAAAATATTTCATGCTAAGATATGTATACATAGATGATAGATCTTATCCAAAGTTTTCCATCACAAAATCTTACGAATTAGAATCAAGTCTAAGAAAAAAATCATGCCAAACATACGCAATAACAAGAAATCGATGATTCACCGCATTTCATTAGCATGTAATTTTCCATGGTTACAAAAAATGAGAGAAAAAGAAGAAAAAAAAAAAAAAAAAAA